AGATCATACCATAATATAATTATTGAAAATTGAACTTCATCACAGGCATAAATATTAATAGGAAATATTATAACCTATCATATAGCTACAATCACCAGCTCAATATTTAAAGGAATTGCCACCTCACACAGATAACCAAAAAAAAAAAAAAAGGCAACTATGAAGCAAAATAGAACTTGAAAATAATTACATACGGTGTTACCCCCGTAATTTAAACTTGGTGAAGGTACTGTTCACGTGCCTTCAAGAAACAGCCGTTCATTGGAGAAGAACGGGCGTTCTTGCTGCACAGAAAATTTGTAATGTGGAACAAGCACAGATTATTGAACCCTTAACTTTGTAATTTGTATACTCGCAGTATTGATTATACAATAATGTGGTCAAAAATCTAGTTTATTTCTTTTCATATTAACCATAACAGAATATTTCTTAACAATCGTAACATCAATGCTCAATTGTCAATTTTGTTAATTATATATATATAAAGAGAAAAAATTAAGACTTGTAAGTAATGAGGTTTTCCAGCCTTAGTCTAAACAAAAATTGGCTGAGAAAGCTAAGAAAATTGAACCAAATTCTTTGATAAAGTACAAAATTCATGTACATATAGAGGTTTTCTCAATGTATCCATTTGGTAGTAAAAATGAAAATCATGAAGTTCTATTTAGGTCTACACAGGGCAGGAACAGAAACTATGGGAACTTCAGATTTCAACTGCCACCCTGATCCCAAAATCTACTGCTTCAAAATTTCATATTGATGGTCCACAAATTCTTCAAATTATTAAAGCAAATATTCCCAGAAATGCCAACATATTTGTAATAAATTATAGTTGCATATTAGATATGGTGAAATATGGAATGCTTCAAGATCTAGCTAATATATAGTTTCCTGAAAAGGCTCATTTCATGTATCCCTGGTGAGATCACTTAATAAAAAAGTAACCTCTATTATTGAAAAGTATTATATACCTCCCTAGATTATCAAAAAGAGAAAACCTCATAAAAGTACCGAAAAAAACAAAAAATCCTGTACACGCCACAAGTAAAAGTTCAACAATATAAATCTGCATGCAAGACAGTCATTCTATTCAATATCATGTCAATGGTTAAACTATACATATTTCTATAGGTAAATTCTTTGAAGCATGATTATCATAAATATCTCAATGCTAAGACAATTTCAAAGCAATACAAGATAATAAATTTTTGAAGATGCTAGTGAACAGGGTTGGTGAAACAAGAATATGAGTCCATTCAACCAAAAACACTGCAGTAAACACAATCTAAGCTTTTTCCAAGCCAAAAACACTCAAAAGAGATAAATTTCTTTGAAGTGGCTTTTAAAAGCAAAATTACAAATTACAAATCACAATTGCAAGTTGTTATTTGACAACACGTTGAGAGGATTTTGAGATGAGATAATGCAAGAAATCACAATTGCAAACTGTGAACACTTCTATATATCAATCACACAAACCAGTCCCACCAAATTGACTGGATTTCTCTTTATCAACTCAATTCAAGAAATCACAACACAAATAATATTCCACCCTAATTCCATTCAACACAAATTTCAAATCCAACACATTCATCCAACATAAAAAAAAAAAAAAAAAATAATAATAATAATTGAGAATTCGATGTGACTAATTACCTTACAATAATAATGGCAGATGAGAAACTTGAAGAAGAATCACGGCAGATGAGGACCTTCGACGAAGAAGAAGAGCGCGACAGATGAGAACTTCGAAGAAAAAGAAGAAGAACGCAGATGAGGAATGAAGACGAAGAAGAAGAGCGGAGATGGGGAATGCAAATGAAGAAGAAGCGGCGGTGTTTTAATTTTAAAAACTTCCCCCAAATTTGTGTTTTAACCTAAATTTTTTTTATTTTTCTTTTAATTTTCAATACAGACGGCCGTCCAAAAATAAAGGACAGCCATTCATAAGTTATGGATAGCCGTCCATTCATAATGGACGGGCGTCCACACGTTAGGGACACCCGTCCACAAGTTAGGGACGGCCGTCCAAAATTTTGTTTTATTTTTTTTAATTTACATTATGGATGGGCGTTCCTTATTTGTAGATGCCCGTCTAAAATTCAGGTGATGAACGGGCGTCCCTAATTTTTTTTTAATTTTTTAAAACCATTAATAATGGAAGGGTGTCCATTAGCATATGAACGCTCGTCCATTACTTTTATTTATAAAAAATTTATTATTTAAAGATTGGACGGGCGTCCATTATATGTGGACGCCCGTCCTTTATTTAGGGACTGCCGTCCATAACCAATGAACGGCCGTCCATTATTTTTATTTGTATTGTTTTTTTCGATTTACTGATGAACGGGCGTCCTTTAAATGTGGACTCTCGTCCATATAATACGGACATGAGTCTATCGTTAGTGAACGGCCGTCCATAGTTGATGAACGGCCCGTTCATGAGAAAAATTTTTGTGAACGTGAAACGTGGCTGGTGTGCATCACGAGACATGTAATTCGATGTAAGAATTTGGTGTAGAGTCTCGGTGTCCGTAGCATTATTGGAAAGAATATAGCCGTTGAAGGTTGGGCAAAGTTACAGCCTTTTAAAATTTTGTCTGATCTGTAGAAGTAATTTGGTCAATCAAAAATATTTTTCCTTCTTCTTTTTTCCTCTCTCTCTCTCTCTCTCCTTTTTTTCTCTCTTCTCTAGGTTCTCCACTCTTATCTTTGGTTTACGAATTAATCGAACTCTATATGTGGTAGGCTAATTAAACAAAAATTGTTACTTTTTAAATATGGGTGGCAAAAAGGGTTGTCATGTCGAACAAGTTAGAGAATTTTAATCTACTCAAATATGATCCGTTTAAGTATTCATGTCATGGGTCCCAACATGGATATGATAAAAGTATTAAATAGGTGATACAACTATGACCCATGAAACCTGTTTAATAAATAGGTACTCTAACCTGCATGTAACCAGTAACTCATTTAGCATGTTTATGACACATTTAACTCATTTAACCTGTTTATAACAGGTTTAATTTATTCAACATTTTTATCAATCGTGTCATAAACAATTGTATCATCAACTAGCTATATGACCTATTTAGTTAATTGTGTCATAAAATAATTTCCTAGGTTGAGTCCAACTAGAATATAACACGATTAATAATGAGTAATGCTACATTTACACCATTTTCATTACATCATGATGTGACATATGTTACAACCACACAAATTCTATTATAATATTAAAAATTTAAAATAATTAAAAATTTGTGTGGTTGTGGCATATGTCACATCATGATGTAATGAATATGGTGTAAAAGAGTGGTGTAAACGTAGTATTACTCTTAATATATGAGTTGATTTCGTCAACACGAATATGATCAACCCTAATCCATGTAAACTTTCTAATCTGTGTTGTGTTGACTTGTCGTGTCAAAAATTGCCAAACCATAATGTTAGACTTATATATATATATACACACACTATACTTATTTTGTTATTGGGCTTTTAGGTAAAATAATAGTTTAGGGTTTTAATTTGTGACAAAAAATGGCTCTTTTATTTATTTATTTACGTGGGTCATTATAGTAGTATTCCTTAATCATGTATTTTCATTTATACTTACTTTCCAAATCAATCAAAATAAGATGGATAAATGTAAAATAAGATGAAAAATATTAAATCTTTTGATTTAGACTATGAAATTAATGGTGGAAAGTTTATGGAAATATTCAATTGTAACAAAATTCTAATTCAATTTGCTGTGTAACAGGTATTGCTCAAACCTATATTCACTATTGTTGATGAGTTACTAGGAAATCTCAAGATATCTAAGAAAGCTAAGAACACACAGAAAATTAATAAAAGAACCTTTGGATTTAAGTGGTTTAGTCCAAAAGTACGTGAACCTATATTCACTATTGTTGATGAGTATTTCACAACCTAACAAGAAATCAACTTTGAATCCTAATCCTACTTGAGCACTCGAGCACCACATTACCTATGGAACGAAGCACAACCCACTACATGTGGAACGAAGCACAATCCACTACCCTGAGGATAAACTATTAATTACAACCTTGTGGTTGCACAAAAAAATAATGCCCAACTGCAGGCACTATTTCTCTGACTGTCGACATATATAGGGCTCCAATAATAGCTTTATACGCTGCTCTATCCTACTCTCTCCCACTCTCTAAGAGTTCCCTAGGCTGTCTAAACAATCCATATTGCTTTCTCTCCTCTAAGCTCTACACGACAACTTTGTTACAAGCCCTTATTTATTGCGGGCTAAGAACTTCATAGACTTTTTTAGTGGAATAGGACTACTTGACCTTTTTTCTATTAAGATACGAAGAACCTCATTAGTCCTACTTGGATACAAACTCTGTTCTATTTTAATCCTACAAGAATATAAACGGTAATTCTCTTAATCCTACTTCATTATGCCTTCTCTTACACAAAACAATCAGTTGACAACTTTAACCAAATCTTTCTTAACTTAGACAACCAGTTAGAGTAGCGACAATTTTTTTCTTCTACACGGTCCCTAATAAGCAATCTTTACATTTTCTAATTCAATTCCTCTTTCACCTGAAAATGATCTAGAATTATCAAACCGATTTGACAAAATTCTTATATAAAATAATCTACAATAAATTGACCCTTTAATGTTAGACATGAATACAAAATTGGATCACAAAGTTTGGAAGCATTCAAGTTATCTACACTACCTATAAAGTAATCTTAGTTATGGATAAATTTTTAATTAAGAAAAAATATTAAAAAATATTGTCTTTCTTTAGGGCAATAAGGGTGTNTTTATCACAAATTTTTTCTCACAATCTCGATATGACAGTTTACAATTGATCAATTCGTAATAAGTCTAACCTCAATCCCACTTAATAAATCACGACTAACTAATTATGAGTTGTTAAGTAAAAGGGTTGAAAAGAAGAGGTTGTAGGTATAGTATTACTCTTTCTCCAAGAGTAATACTACACCCAAATACAACCTTTGTTCTGCCACAAATTTATTATTCATTTTTGTATGCATGAATAAGTAAACACTTAATTTTATAATGCAAATGGAGGTATCATCTTCTCTTAATTCACAAACCAAATTCCTAGAATGAAATTAATCATTGACATAATCAAAATGAGAACTGAGACAATTTCAAAGATTATTAACAAAACCAAATTTAGTAAACATACCTCACGTGCCTTATGATTCTCTCTGACGCTACCAAGTCTCGGTTTCCACTCCTCTCCCGGTAGCGGCGCACCACCGGCTTTTCCAACATAAAGATCGACAAGCTTCTCAGCCGCCTCCGCTTCATCCTTGCTCTCATCCATCAATTTAGCCACTTGGGATTTGGGCAGCCTCATTTTGACCCTCATGCGCCCATCATTAAGTTCCGGCACTTGCCCATCAGATCCACGGCTCGTCGACGGTTTAACCGCAGAAAGATCAGAAACTGCCCGCCTTGACAACATCAGTAACTCAAGCCGGTCCTTTGCGCCCATGTGAATCCCGGATTGAACCCTTCTAGTGGGCATTTTATTTTTCTCTTCAGGAATAAACTTGGGTAACTCCACCAAGAAATAAATTTTCTTGGCCTTCAGAATCTGTTGAGGCTCCAACGGCTTCGCCCGAACGCCATAGTGTTTCACAGCTTCTGAATCTAACAAAACGTGACCTGGGTAGTCTTTAACGACGTCGGAAACTTGAACTGGAGTCTTTAACTTGAACGTTTCTCCATCAACTTTCATCACCTTGGCTTTCTTTCTTCCTCCTATGGTGTTCCCCATGTTAAATTTTCTTGTGTTAATATTATAAAGATTATGATAAAGGTTGGAATTGTTTATATACGGGATTTGGTGAGGTGTGAATCAGTGGAAATTATTGTAGATTCCTTTTACTGAAGATATGGATTCATGATTAAGGACAGGTGAATTGAAGTGGGAACGTTAATGAGTTTGGTTGGGGTCGAGACAAAGTCTGTGTTTGGCGTAGATGGAAAATAGAAAATGAAGAATTGAGTTGTGACAAACCAAACGTACATATCAGCTTTCAAGATTCCCATTAAGCTATGTTTGTTTAAGTACTTTTTTTTTTTTACCTATTTATCATGTGAAATTAAGCGCTTGTGGGACAACTTTTGTAGAAAAGGATAAGCACAAGGAAAAGTGCTTTTGGCTTGCACCAACTAGCATGGCTAGTCGACGTACAACAGAAATTGTCCTGTTAGGCTAGCCCATCTTTTCCATCCTATTAATTTTTCTCATCTATAAATAATCATTTTTTCTATTAATATAAATGATGCCAATATATGGATTCAATTAGAGTAATATTATACCCTCAACTTTTTTGTATAAGTTTTTTCCACAAACTTATATGGTAAAAAATGATTGGACAAAAGTTTATTTTAAATATAAAATCACTCAATCATCTTTTATCACATAAGTTTGTGAGAGAAAGTTTATATAAAAAAGTTATAGGTGTAGTATTATTGTAATTTTTAAGCGTTAATCACATCTTTCCCATTAGAAATTGTTAATTTTTAAGCATTTTAAAATTATTAAATACACCTTTACCTGGTGTTTTGATATTTTTTATAATTTTTTTCAATAACGCTAGGTCCACAACTTTTTCTCCAACCCTGACATGACAGTTTATCATTTGTTAGCTCGCAAATAGGTAGGCAAGATCCACACAAGCAGGTGAGACCCATTTTACGAAACGAGCTATCACATTGGAGGTTGTGAGATTGAGTTATGTATCTAGCATTACTCAAAGTTTTTTTATATATATTTTAAAAGTTATTGGTAATTTTATAAAGATTGTTATGCAATCAACCAAGATTCAACCAGAAACAACCAAGAAAACAGAAAACACAAACAATCAACACCGGATCTTTACCGTCGTTCACTTGCCCTATTTGAGCAAGCTACATCCACGTTGAACTCCGGAAAGGGAGTTCGCTGCACTATGATTATAGAACAACCAATTACAAACACGATTACAAAGAATGACACCCAAGAACCCAGATCAAACAACTCTGAATCAAACCCGTAATCTGCTCTAGGAATCCTCTAACCTGGAAATCCCTATAACAAGAACACAGTAGTTCTTCCCTTGACTGATTAACCCAAACCACTCAAGAAACCCATAGATTACAACTGAAATCAGACCCAAAAGAAAGAACCCTAATCTCACAAAGGAAAAACGAAAATATAGCTCTCCACTTTTCTGTTTAACCTACAGTTAAATAAGAAACCTTAATCCTTTTATAGTGTTGACTGGAGGCTTGATCTCAGCCATTAGTTTTTCCTCTGAATCAGAGGTCAGGATCATCTTGGAGCTGTCTCAAAACGACACCGTTCCATTAATACGCAGTACGACGTCGTTTCAGCATTCACTCACAACAATCTCCACCTTGAATGCTAAACATTCACAGTGCAGCAAACCCAAACAGTTCCATCATTGTTCTGGTCTTCACAGGTTATCTTACATGTAGCAGGTTCAAGCAGTGCTTGAACTTTGCAGGTGAGACAACCTTGGTTCCCATGTCAGCAGGATTATCTTCAGTGGATACCTTTACAAGATCAATTACCCCCTGTGTTACTAAGTCTCTGACAAAGTGGAAGCGAACATCCACATGCTTGGTCCGCTTATGGTATACTGGATTCTTACTGAGATGGATTGCACTCTGACTATCTGAGAATACAGTAACCTTGCCATCAGTCAGTTTTGCTTCGGCCAACAAACCTTGTAGCCACACAGCTTCCTTAAACGCATCAGCAATAGCAATATACTCTGCTTCAGTTGTTGAGATAGCAACAATGGGTTGAAGCTGTGACTTCCAGCTAATGCAATTTCCTCCAAGGGTAAAGTAATATGAGCTGGTGGATTTCCTTGTGTCTTTGTCACTTGCAAAATCAGAGTCTACAAAACCCCCCAAGTCAAGTGTATTATGCCTTTTACAGAAATTTAAACCAACATTCAGGGTACCATTAATGAACCTTAACACTCCCTTTAAGGCAGTCCAGTGCTCACTGCCTAGATTTGCCATGAATCTGCTCAGTAAGGAAATGGAATAGGACAGGTCTAGTCTGGTACTGATCATTCCATACATCACAGATCCAGCAACATTTGCATAGGGGATAGATTCCATTTTGATTATCCCAGATTCAGTTGTGGGGCATTGGCTCTTGTTTAACACAACATGGTTTGCAAGAGGCATGGACACTGGTTTTGAGTCAGCCATACCAAATTTAGACACTAGTTTTTCTAAGTATGATTTCTGCCTAATGATTAATTCATGTTTACCCCTGTTCCTGATAATGTCCATTCCTAGGATTCTTTTGGCATTTCCTAGATACTTCATGTCAAATTCTGACCTAAGCTGGCCCTTTAACTCATGAATTTTAGACTTAGACTCACTCACAAGTAACATATCATCCACATACAGTAAAAGATATACAGGCAGATTATGATTCAAATTAAAATAGAAACAATTGTCATATCTACTCCTAGTGTATCCTATACTTACAATGAAATTGTCAAACCTCTTATACCATTGTCTTGGGGACTGTTTCAGTCCATACAGTGATTTGTGTAGAATCACACATGGTTAGGTTTCTTAAGATCAATAAAACCTAGAGGTTGGCTCATATAAATCTCCTCTTCTAAGTTACCATGCAGAAAGGCAGTGGTAACATCCATCTGTTCTAACTCTAGGTTATAATGGGCAACAATGGAGAGCATTAACCTAATGGTTTTATACTTGACTACAGGGGAAAAGACTTTATTGAAGTCTATTCCTTCGCGTTGGGTGTAACCCTTAGCTACTAACCTAGCTTTGTACCTGAGGGGGTCAGTAGCTGAAATTCCCTCTTTAATCTTGTACAACTATCTACATTTGATTAGTTTTTGGTCCTTGGGTTTGGGAACCAAGGACCAAGTTCTGTTTACCTCAAGTGACCTCATTTCCTCTTCCATTGCTTGCCTCCATTTTTCCCTTTCCTTAGGGTTCATTGCTTCTTCATATGAGTCTGGTTCTGTTATTTGAATCCATGTTCCTGCAAGCAAAGCAATGTATATCAGTTCAGCATAAGAAAACCTAGTAGGGGGTCTTACCTCCCTCCTTATTCTATCTCTGGCAAGTTGATAGTGTTCTAATTGTGCATGTTGGGGCTCTGGGGCATCTGCTTCATTTTCTTCACTATCAGATCCAGGATCCTCTGGTCTTGGTTGGTTTTCAAGTGCATGTTCCTCATTGGGTTGAGGTGGTTCAGCTTGCTGACCCACAGGCTCCACCTTAATGGTTGTACTCTCAGTTGTATCCTTTGTAAGTTCAGATGGGGTGGTGGTACCAGTGTTCTATTTAGTGGTTTTACAAGGGAACACCCCTTCATTAAAGACCACATCCCTGGAAATGATGATTTTTACCCCTGGTGAATTTTTGTCCCAAAGTCTGTACCCTTTAGTACCATCTTGATATCCTAGGCACACACACTTGGTGGATCTAGGCTCTAACTTTCCTCCCACTGTATGTGCATAGGCTGCACACCCAAATATTCTCAAATAGCTTAAACCAGGCTTTCTTCCTGACCATACTTCTTCAGGACATTTGAAATTTATGGCAGTAGAGGGCTCCTATTTATCAGATAGGCTGCAGTGGACAAGGCCTCTCCCCAGAAGGTATTAGGTAACCCTGAAGTGAACAGCAAGTATCTGACTTTTTCTAGGAGTGTCCTATTCATCCTCTCAATTACTTCATTCTACTGAGGGGTTCTTCTCACAATTCTATGTCTTAGGATTCATTGCTCACTACAAAACTTATCAAATTCAGTGTTATAGTACTCTAATCTATTGTCAGTCCTTAGGGTTTTTACCTTTCTGTCTAGTTGGTTTTCCACTAGGGTTTTCCACTCTTGAAATTTAGATAATGTCTGGTCCTTAGTTCTAAGGGTGTAAATCCACACTTTTCTGCTAAAATCATCTACAATGGACATAAAGTAACTACTGCCCCCATGAGACCTCACTCTCTCAAGTCCCCATAAGTCTGAGTGTATGTATTCTAAACAACCTTTGGCCAGGTGTATGCCTTTTGGGAAACTGACTCTGTGCTGTTTTCCTAAAATACAGTTCTCACAAAATTCTAGGGTTGTAGCAGTGTCCTTTCCTAATATGCCTTGGTTACTTAGGATATCTAGCCCCCTCTTACTCATATGTCCCATCCTAAGGTGCCATTTTTCGATTACTGACATATTTGGGGTGACAAGGGAAGAACTTAGGCAATCAGAATAATATTCTCCACATAGGATGTATAACCCATTCCTTTTTTCTTCTTTCAGAATTAGATTCTAGTTTCTATACACAATCAGCCACCCATTTTTGGCTCTATAACAGGATCCTTCCGCATCTAAGGTTCCTAAGGATATGAGGTTCCCTTTGAGTTCTGGAATGTACCTAACATGGGTAAGCTTTATTAGTTTCCCACTACAGAGTCTAAGGGTTATACTACCTTTACCTTTGACCCTACAGGCATTGTTGTTCCCAATGAACACAGTCTCCCTATCATATTCCTCATAGTCTTGAAACCAGTCCCTATTGGGGCTCATGTGGAAAGAGCACCCAAAATCTAACATCCACTCTCTTGTATTGTCAGAAACAGAGACAGTAAACACCTCTGTTTCTTCAGCTAAGTGTTTGGATGAGGCTAGGTTACTCTCTGTGTTTCCCTGCTTTTGTTTCTTAAGCCATTCAAATCAATTCTTCTTCAGATGACCAGTCTTATTGCAGAAAAACATTTTCTAGACTCTGCCTTATGCTTATTGTTCCATTTACTCTGTTTCTTGTTTTTGGACCCCTGGCTAGGTTGACTGCCTTTACCAGATTGAAAGGTATCTGGTTTTCCCCTAACAAACAGGTTACTCCCATTTCGTTTTTGGACCTTTAACTCAAGTTCTCTAGCCTTAAGACCAGCCACAATCAAGTCAACACTAGGGACAATATCGGAATACTGAAGTGCATTCTTAACAACAAGATAATCCTCG